GCCCAAACTAAGGAAAATAGTCAAAATACAATTTATCAACCACAACGGAATGAACAACTTAGTTCAAAACAAGTGATTAAATACGAATTAAGACCAAGATTTTAGGTTAATTTGGTAAAAATGTCGGTATTCAATTAATTTAGATATGTCCAAGCGAACGTTTAGACAGGGCAAAAATTTCTCGGTGTAATCGCGCCTAAAGACGACTCGCCTCCACCGTCCCTTCCCTACCCCTCTCCTCAAAGCGCTGCTACGCAGACTATCTAAATGTCACTTACTCCGACGATTAAGGACTCAGCGTCCRAAATGTTTCGAAAAGTTTCACAAAGCTTTTTACGGTGATTCAATTTATCCACRAGTTCCGACTGTTTTATTCAGAAACACCGAACGCAGTCCAAACTAGTATTCTACTAGTCATCACCACTCGTTTATCTAAACGTTCGCTTGGACATATCGAAATTTTAATTGAATGCCGACTTTAGGTATTAGAGCTCTTGTAGCCTGGTATACCTTGTTGTGTTGAATAGAGGCAAGCCTTAGTGGGTCACCAAAATTTTCCAAGRCTAGCCTAAAGTGAGTATGATGCTTTACGCAAACTTTCATATATTTTGCTATGAAGTTGTCTTTAGRCGCGATTACGCGGAGCAATGTTTGTGCTGTTGCAACACTGTTGCGAGTCAAGATTTAAGCTCGTGCTAAATAAGGGATGGACTATTAGATAAATGATGGGGGATTGCAGGAATTTTTATTTATTTTATTTTTTATTTTTGCTCAACCCTTGCACGTTATTTTTTTGCGTACAGTTAGATATTTTCCTTCTAGCAGAAGAGGTTGCACGATATTTTAAGGTTTTTAAAAGTGCTTGCTCGATATTTTTTGTGTCAACTATCTAATGGTCCGTCCCTAAGATCCCGACTTGTCAGGWGTTGTTTTGATAGATAGATTGCAGCAAAGTGGCTTTGCATATCATCATTATATTCAGTGGGCAAAATATCCCTGAAATACCTCAATCGAGCATTTTGCAAAAACTCCAGGAAATTGTGAAAAGCAAGACATTTTTACTGAATTAACTCGTAAAATCTTGGACGTAATTGATCACTTGTTCATTTGACTATAAAGTTGTTTATTCCGTCGTCATTCTCCGTCATGGTAGATATCGATAAATTGTACTAGTATTTTGACTATTTTCCTTAGTGTGGGCCGTCTAGGAAGATCAGACGTATTAAACTCTGTGCCCCTGGTAAGTTTTTTWAAAAGTTATTTCAAGGTAGTAAAAGAAAAAAATAGTTTTGAAWAGTATTTCTTAGATTAGTTTGCATTACTAGTATCAACACTCAATTTGCATAAACTTCAAAACAGTTCATATACCTCGCCAAACGCATCATAACATTGTATTTTATGGGAACTTTTTCGCTTGGACATATCTAAATTAATTGAATACCGACATTTTTACCAAATTAACCTAAAATCTTGGACTTAATTCGTATTTAATCAGGGTGTCGACAAACCATGGACCCTACCTTTTGGACCCCCTTTCTGGACCATAATCTGGACCACCATCTGGATCACCATCTGGAACCCTGGTTTAAACATTAATAGAATTATTTTCATGTAAAATAACTGATTATATAAACTATTTGGTCTTTTTTTCAGCGTTCTTTCTTTTCATCGAAAAAAGGCCGCCATTTTGTCTCAACCGCTGACCAATATGTCAGTACTCTATTACACAGGAAGCCCAACGTCACACGTGTTATATATTTTGAGTTTATATTGACTATTAACTTAATATCAGGTGCTGATTGTGGGGAAAACAGTTCTTTTTATAAACTGTTCATGATGAATTGACTTACCTGCTAGCCATAACTGCTTCATAAACTGCTTGCCTTTGTATACTTGTGTTATAATTGCAAAATAAAGTTATGTCTAAATTGAAATTATAGAATTCATGATCATTTGTGCATTATTTTGCAATGCCTACCATGGCAAGTGAAAAGGAAGAGAGTTGTGATTAAATTGCAATGATTATAAAATTGCATGACCATTTTAGGCTTGTTTTTCAATTATGGGCTTCCTGTGTAATAGAGTACTGACATATTGGTCAGCGGTTGAGACAAAATGGCGGCCTTTTTTCGATGAAAAGAAAGAACGCTGAAAAAAAGACCAAATAGTTTATATAATCAGTTATTTTACATGAAAATAATTGTATTAATGTTTAAACTGGGGTTCCAGATGGTGATCCAGATGGTGGTCCAGAAAGGGGGTCCAAAAGGTAGGGTCCATGGTTTGTCGACACCCATTTAATCACTTGTTTTGAACTAAGTTGTTCATTCCGTTGTGGTTGATAAATTGTATTTTGACTATTTTCCTTAGTTTGGGCCGTT